CCGTCCCTGAGCGTGACTGAGGGTGGCATCACAACCTCCCGATCCGCCCTGCTCTGTGCATGACGGGGCTTCGCCCCAACTCCCCAATCGGCCCTGCTCTGAGCCTGACTAGGGGCTGCACCTAGGGATTGGGCCTGCCCTCTGCCACCCAGGGAGTAGGCCTAGCCAGCAGGGCGTTATCTCTCAAGGGGTCCCAGACTGCGAGAGGGCACAGGCCAGGCTGAGGGCCCCCGAGTGCACAAATTTTTGTGCACCGGGCCTCCAGTTGTTTTATAATCAAGAAGTAGTACAGAAGCTGAGAGGCACAAATCCTATGTAATAAAGAGCTAATATGCTAATTGACCGAACAGCAGAATGACCGTCCAGACGAACTTCTGGACAACCATACGGACAAAGCCAAGCCTGTTAGGACCGAGACAGCCGCAGCCTTGCAGTTAAATCCCATTGGGTCTCTTGTTAATTATAATTAGTAGGGATGCCAGAATACACATTCTTTTAATCTTTCAATTAAAAAGATTATTTAAAAGACCAGTGTGGCTCAGCAGTTGAGCCTTGACCTATGAACCTGGAGGTATTGGTTCTATTCCCGGTCAGGGCATGTGCCCAGTTGCGGGCTCGATCCCCAGTGGGGGACATGCGGGAGGTGGTCAATCAATGATTCTCACATCATTGATGTTTCTATCTGTTTCCCTTTCTTAAATCAATAATAATAAAACAGGTTAAAGTGACCTAAAATTAATGAGAGTGAGGATTTCAGTTATGTTTCCCAGATTCTTAAGAAATAGGGCACGGCAAATTATGTACCTTTTAAATCAGGTGGTGTTTTATGTATGAGAATGGTGTCTAATATTCAAAATGTGTTCCATTAGATGTGCTCTGCTCCCTAAATGAATGCCACCGTGATGGAGACTAGTGCTTTCATGGTGGATGCTTTTCGGTAGGGCTAGACATCTCACAAATGTTAGTTGTCTCTACTGGAAAGGATGGCAATTGAAAGTGAGCTGGGAGCCTCTGGGAACGTGAGGACATGATTGCATAGCACCCCTCTCCCACTCCCTGGAATCACATCTCCTATGGATTTAGGGGCCTTATTTTCCCTCTCAGAAAGGCTGGTCTGGCTTTGGTTAGCTAAGCTGAGCTGCCTCTGAAAATCCAGAACACATGGTAACCAAATCCGTGGCACTCACACTGGCTTTTTCCCCAAAATTACTCAGGAAAGAAAAGAATTACCAGTCTCTTTTCTCAAAGGGACTAACTGTCCTTTCCACAATTAGTTTGTGATGTAGTGGCTACCTAAGCCATGTCTTCTTGGTTTTGTTGATGGGCTAATGTTGCTGAAAGGTTTTAAAAAGTGTGTTATTTAGGTTGTAAAGACTTGATATAATAAAATGAAACAAAACTCCTTAAATGATTCTTTCAATTTTGTTGTTACATTCTCCACTGGGAATGCTATTAACATCTTATCAATAAAAACATTGTTTTGTTTTTGGTCATTTTTTAAATTTTCTTCCATGATATTGACCTGCATTATCCTTTTATCCTGAATTTTAATAGCATGATTTTGTGTTCTTGGATATTTCTATTGGTCTTCATCCAATTGGAAGATTGGTTTTTGAGGTAAGAGGTTTTGTTGTTGTTGTTTGTTAGTAAGTTGGGGGGAGTGGAAATATGTAACTGTCAAAATGTTAAATATTTAATCTTTTAAATCTTTAATTTTATTTTGTAGCTATACTGTGAGACATGTCCCAAAACATGTAAAAATTTTCAGGTGTTGTGCACAGGAAAAGCAGGGTTTTCTCAAAGTGGCATCAAGCTACATTATGTCGGTTCGATTTTTCATCGAATAGTAAAGAATGCTTGGGTACAAGGAGGAGGTGAGTTTACAAACTTAATTGCAACATCAAATCAGAATGTCCAAAATTTTACTTACTTTTGTAAAATGCATATAGGATTAGATATATTTAATATCAGATGTTTGTGGGAACCCTAATCAGAGTACACCAGATGTTCAAGGCCAATTTGCCATATGCATGTACAAAAGCAAGGACACAGCGATTTTACTGTATGTGCTGTGCAGGTGTACCTTTCTATAATGCAAACATTGATATCACTATTTAGCAAGAAGCCTCTTTTGCCTAAGTTGGTGTAAAGATACTAGAGGCCCGGTGCACGAATTTGTGCACTGGTGGAATTCCTTGGCCTGGCCTGTGGGGATCAAGCCTAAACCAGCTCTCACATCCCCCGAGGGGTCCTGAATTGCAAGAGGACAAGCCAGGCTGAGGGACTCCACCAGTACATGATCAGGCCGGGGAGGGACCGCAGGAGGGCTCCAGGGCATGCCCAGCCCGTCTTGCCCAGTCCCAATTGGCTGGACCCCAGCAGGAAGCTAACCTACTGGTCGGAGCGTCTGCTCCCTGGTGGTTAGTGCACATCATAGCGGATGGTCAAACGGTCAGATACTTAGCATATTAGGCCTTTATTACATAGGATGTTACTGACCAGCCAGTACATGGCTGCTTTGCACAGCTGCTTTGAAGAACTGCTTTGTCTGATGGCTCCTTAGCAGCAATGTCTACTTGGTCTGCAATAACGTCTCTCTTATATGCCTATGACTTCTCATATCTTCTCCATCTAATACCCAGCATCTGGGGACCTGTATACCCCACAGTTAGCATAGTTGAGCAGAATCAAGGAGTAAGTGCTCCAACAACGTTGTATATATTTAAAGGATGTTTTTCATATGGCCAAATGATGAGTTCAGATATTCATACTCTTTAAAAATTCCCTAATTATTAAAATCTAAAGTATGTTATCAGGAACATTCTAAAATAACAAGACATATAAGAAAGTAGGAAAACATTTTTAATCAAAATGTATTTTTAAATGCTCACTTAAATAAATTAGAGTACTTAGAAAATACAAAGCTTTTAAGAAACACACTAAAGGTGGAAATTTAAAAATAGAATAAATGGAAAACAACTTATTTTTCACCAAAGATGTTACATTATTACAACTGAAAAGTAAGATCTAGAAGCATTTTGGTTTCCTTTTTGGTTCTTTTCCGGTCAGTCCTTTGGCTTTACAGACTAAGTGCCTGGTTCACAGCACAAAATTAAATTTGGGAAGCTTTGGGGAAATATCCCAGAGGGAGAAATTAGTCAGTAATCTATATATATAACAGCCTAAGTGACTGGTCAACCAGTAGCTATGACATGCAATGACCACCAGGGGGAAGATGCTCAATGCACAGGCATAGAAACATGGAACAGACTGATGAATCTCAAAGAGGAGGGGGAAGAGGGGAGGGGCAAGGGGGAAAAGAGATAAACCAAAGATCTTATATGCATACTAGAGGACTGGTGCACCGATTTGTGCATCGGTGGGGTCCCTCGGCCTGGCCTGTGGGGATTGGGCCGAAACTGGTAGTCCAACATTCCCGAGGGGTCCCGGATTGTGAGAGGGTGCAGTAAATATATATTTAAAAATATTTAAATCAAAATTTCACAGAGCGTCCTGTTCCGCTGTTTTTCTGTAGTGTTCACAAGGTTGGTGGCTTGCTTTCTGAGATTTCCTGGCTCTGTTCCCCTCCTTACCTTTGCTCTGGACTTTTCCTAGCCTTCAGTGTGATGGTCCACATCCACCTCACTGTTGATTCTTCTCTTTCTACTCTGTAGGGGCCCAGGGTTCTAGGCCCCACTTCTGTGGGTTCTAGGACTTTGGGTGTCCCTTCTTCTATTAAAACTATAAAGAATTAGCCCTGGCTGGTGTGCTCAATGGTTAGAGCATTGGCTTGTGCACTGAAGGGTTGGGGGTTTGATTCCAGGTCAAGGGCATGTGCCTGGATTGCGATTTGCTCCCCGCCCCCTGTTGGGTCATGTGCTTGCAGAAGGCAACCAATGGATGTGTGTCTCACAACAGACTGATGAGAGAGTGCCCTCCCCCCTCTCCTGCTTTCTCTCTCCCCTCCTCCCTCCCTCCCACTCTCTCTGAAAAGCAATGGGAAAAAATATCCTCAGGTGAGGATTAATAAAAATACTAAAAAAGTAAAAAATTATATTTTACAGCTGCATTGATATTAAAAAATATATCTTTTACTTAAAAAAATCATTATATTACAAATGAACTCCATTTCCAAAATACCAGATAATGAGTTATCACTATAGGGTTCCAAGGAATGAAAATTTGAACAATAATTCTTTTTAAAGCACCTATTTTTATTCTTGCTTTACAAATATCTTACTGTTTCTATTTTATCCTCTCAGTTTAATCTTTCCATTTTTCTTAAAAGATGGACTATGTGATAACTTGTGCAATAAGCAAAATTTATATGAACACATTTTAAAAAATCATCACAATTATAATTTAATACTTCATCATTTCAAAGTTTACATTGTAAATTAACCTACCTCCAAGAATTATTAGGAAAAAATAGTGTCTTTAATGTAAAATTGTTTATAAAATGCATTATAGTAATATTTTCATGGTATGAAACTTATAATAGTCATTTGTAAAGGGGAATCATAATTTAAAGCATTATTTACCCTGCCAGTGTTGTGCTTTTCTTTTTAGTTTCATAATTATAATATTTATTGTTATTTTGCAGACATAGTGGCTGGAAAAGGAGATGGTGGAGAGTCAATTTATGGACCAACATTTGAAGGTATGTATCTTTAAATTTTATCAGTCATATATTAGTTGATTATTCAAATTTAGCAGGACAGGACAATTCACAACTTAAGATAGTGTTTGGGATAACATACTAAAAGTGGGAGTTAAAAATGGCACCCAGCTAGTCCAGAACAGTTTTGTACACACATTTTTTTTCACTTTCCTAAGTATATTATTTCTTTAGGATAAATTCCTAGAATTACAATTGTAAGGTCAAAGGGAATTGATTCTTAAAGCTTGTAATTTGCCATTCTCAGAATTGGCACCTTGATTATCCTCCTGTTTAGGCTGTCTGGGATCCTGGGAAGATGGGTAGTGGTGGTGGTGGTGTAGTTTTTTAATTTTTTAAAATCCCAAAATAAAAGCAGACAAAATAATTAGATAGAAAAACGGAAAACCCATGGATAACATTTATAACAAACCTGATAAGTTAAGTTACATAAATTCCAAAGTACAAACAGGGAAGGGCAGACTGCCAACAGCCACTGTCAGGCAACAGCCAGAAATCTGTGTGGGAGAAAGCAGGGCATCTGAGGGACCTGAGGACAGCTGAACCCCAAAATAGCCGGTCGCTGGTGTGTGCAGGGGGCTTGTAATAAGGTTCAGGCTAGCCTCTGTGACTCTGGAACCTGATCTGAAATGGCCCTCTTCTAGGACAGGCTCACACTGAGGAGGTATTGCTGGGAATGGTATCAAAATTATGCGGGATATAGGGACAACAGTGAGGAAGAGGGGATGGGAACACAGTTAGGAAATCTCAGAAAGCAAGATGCATATCTTGACCTGCAATTGGAAACAACACAAAAGGATTTGTGAAGTTAGAAAAGCTTCTTCTAAAGCCACACCTGCTTCTAAATGTTTAGGAAAATTAATTTTACGTAAAAATGAACAGCAAAAAGTTTCATGGTTACTAGAAGGAAAAAAGGGAATAAGGAATAGAGTAACAGCACTACATATAATAAAAGCATACTAGAAAGACATGCTCAACTTTAAGCAATAAAACAATTAAAAAAAATAAAATAAAATGAACAAACAAAAAACAAACAAAAAAAGAGAAAGACATGCTCAAAATAGATCGAAACTGACAATTTCAAAATGAGCTAAAAAACATGAATAAAATGATACAAGACAGAAAAGAACTCATAAATCAGAATTAGGAAAACTCAGCATGAGGTTATAAACTGAGGAAAGAATAATAAAAGAATTTCAGAAACAAACTAGACAGAACATAAGACCAAATAAACACAACAGATATGTACCTTAAAGAAGTAGAAGGGTCCTGACCGGTTTGGCTCAGTGGATAGAGCATTAGCCTGCGGACTGAAGGGTCCTGGGTTCAATTCCAGTCAAGGGCATGTACCTTGGTTGTGGGCACATCCCCAGTAGTGGGTGTGCAGGAGGCAGCTGATCAATGTTTCTCTCTCATCGATGTTTGACTATCCCTCTCCCTTCCTCTCTGTAAAAAAATCAAGAAAATATATTTTTTAAAAAAGAAGTAGAAGGTAGAGGGAGGAAGTTGGGTTTATGGGCTTTTTTTTTTTAAATCCTCACCCCAGGACATGTTTTTCACTTGAGAGAGAGAGAGAGAGAGAGAGAGAGAGAGAGAGAGAGAGACACAAAGAGAGAGAGAGAGAAATTCATGTGAGAAACATTGATTGGTTGCCCCCCACTCCCAAACATGGCCTGATGGGGGCAGATGAAATATGGTAGAGGTTAATAAGTAAAATATTCCATAGTCCTGAATTTGAATTGGAAATTTCACTTTAAACTCAAGAAGTATCTCATCTATATACTAGTATATAGCTGTGTCTACTGAATTGGTATACAAACAACCACCAATCCGGTCATGATACACGTTCCTAGCATTTAGATTGTTGTTTTGAATATCATTTCTCACTTAAAGAAACCAGGGCATTTGGGAGAAATGTCAGGTTCCAGTGATGGAACAGGACATTGCAAAATGAGTCTGGAGCCTCATGTTTAGCCATGCTATCGTCAGAGAGCAAGAACGCTATTAAAGATTTACTAGGGGCACGTCAAAGGTCTCAGGAGCCCATTTGAAGAGGTTCTCACTGGCCAAAGATGGAGCAATTTGAATAATAGTTGCAATGATTTGAAACCCAACACATATATTAAATCCATGAGTTCATAATAACATTATTTTATAAATAAAGCCTAATTGCTTACAATTTGAACCTTCTGTCCAATAGAAGACATGTCTCAGCTCATCTCCTCACCTGCCCCTCTGGAATGAGAGGTAATGAATTCATTATTTTGAAAACCAATAAATACAGAGAAAGAATCAGCCATTTATCTTGCCTTTTCTATGAGAGCTAGACTAAACTGTAGACAAGGGGAACCATCTTATCATAAAAGTGTTCCAATTATAAGGGAAAAGGAAATAATAGACTATCACCATTTTGCTGCCCCCATTGTAGGCATTTGGATGTAGGCATTTGCTGCATCAGTCTCAGCTATCATCCCCAAAACGGAATAGACAACAGGATATTATGAGCCTTCTGTTGAGAGAGCACACCACCAACGGGATAGAACAGGCGTCTGATTGAGCTTCTGGATCCAGCTGTCCATTTGCAAGAAATATAACCAGTTCTGCCGTAATGTGTTCTTAAGGATCTCTGTGCTATGTAAAATCATGCAATAAAAACCACAGGACTTATGGCAGAAATGAGATTAAAAACAAAATGTTCTCAGTGACACATTAAAAAATAAGACAGTAACCTAATAAAAACAGAAACAGTGTTACACATATGTTTTGGTTATGAAACACCCGGAGGAAATTGCACTTGAGTGGGGCAAAATTCATTAAAATTCATTATGCTCAACTCCTTCCCTAACTTATCAATCAAGGTGAAATAAGCATTTTCCACATAAGTAATATAGCCAAACTGACAGGACAGAGAACAGAGAAATAAGTATATTGAACTGCACCCTGTGTGTGCAACGAGCAAGCTCCAGGCTGGGAGAAATTCTAGAGGTTAAATAGTTAGGTTCATTAACAGATAAAGTGTAAGGAAAAGGAAGGGATAGAGGCAGAACCTGTAGATTAAAAGAAATTTAAAAGGCATAACAAGTCTTAAAATGGGAATGACTAAACTATACTACCTAGGGATGCACACTTAGATGGTAAAACTACAAGGAAACATTAAGTACTTGATTATGTAAAAGTCAGGGGAATAGTGACTTTGAGGGTGTGAAGAGGGATTTAATTAGGGCCTTAAGGGGAGGCTGGCAAAATTCTTTCTCTTGGCCTGAGTGGTGGTTAAAAAGGTGTTTGCCTTATAATAATTAATAATTATATATTTGTTTTCTGTGGCTTTTTTGTGTCTGTATTTTAATGTAATGAAAAGGTTTTATTTTTTAATTTTTTAAAAAGACATATATTTATTGATTTTAGAGAGGAAGGGAGAGGGGGAGAGAGAGATACAAACATCAATGATAAGAGAGAATCATTGATTGGCTTCCTCCTGAATGCCCCCTACTGGTAATCGAGCCCACAACCTGGGCATGTGCCCTGCCTGGGAATGGAACTGTGACTTCCTGGTTCATTGGTTAATGCTCAACCATTGAACCACACCAGCCAGGCTGAAAAGGTTTTAAAAAATAATATTGAATCGGTGGCCAAAGTGTAAGGGAAAAGTAAAAGCTAGTTTCCTTTTAAATTCATGTGAGACAGCTTTATCAAATGAAACCATGCAAGTGACAGCATTCATTTATTTACTCATAAATCAGGAAACTCGTAGTTTGGTGCCTACAGTGGTGCTAGTGCCTTTGGAAACAAAGATGATATGACCAAGTTTCCACCCTCCAGGACTGTAGAGTTTTTGTGATGACAGATGCTTAAACAGGTAAACTATCGGTGCTGTGCTGATTTTTATTCCAAAGGAAGAACTAAGTGCTGTGCGACAAGAAAGAACAACTGTCTGGGCGTGGGGGCAGTGGCCCAGAGCAGCTCATGAGTTTAGTGCAGACCGGCTGTTCCTGGAAGCTTTCCTGGCATCCTTAATCCCCGATGAGAATCCACCTTCCACTCCTGCCACAGCTGTTAGCAGATCACCCAAACTCTTTCTGCTGGAGGCACAGTCTCAGACAACTCGGGCCTTCTGTCCAGGAGGAGACCCATCTCTTAGCTCAGTGGTCGGCAAACTCATTAGTCAACAGAGCCAAATATCAACAGTACAACGATTGAAATTTCTTTTGAGAGCCACATTTTTTAAACTTAAATTATATAGGTAGGTACATTGTTATTCACTTAATTAGGGTACTCCTAAGGCGCAGGAACCCACCTGCGCCGCCGAGTCTCCTGCCCGACACCCCCCACTTCTTCTAACGCCACTTTTTCAAAATAGACTCACCCAGGCCGAAAACCGACTTCTGCACATGGGCCACGAAGTTTCAATCGCAGTGTATGTGCGCGCCCGCGCGTCGTATTTTGTGGAAGAGCCACACTCAAGGGGCCAAAGAGCCGCATGTGGCTCGGGAGCCACGGTTTGCCGACCATTGTCTTAGCTCATCTGCTCACCTGCCCCTCTGGACATCCCTGTGGCTCTGTTAATTACCTTTCGTTTCCATCCTTAGACAGTTGTGGGGATTTGGTCTCCAGATGGAGGCCTGGCTTCTGGTGCCCAGGGAGGCCCAGTGTGTTTAGGGAAGTTTCTGTTACTGTTTTGTTTGTGAGGAATGCAGAATTAGAAATCCAGTAACCGATCAAGTGAAGAGAGGGATGCTCCAGATGACTGTGGGCGAGAGACCATGACGGGTACTCAGAACAGCCACAGATGGGTTTTCCTCCTTTCACCCCTGTGGATTGTTAATGCATCGGACTGAGAGTCCGTCCTCCAAAGTTCTCTCATGGGACCCTATTTCTGTGACGCAGAATTAAAACCCAGAGCTTGTTAAAAAACACTACAACCACAAAACTTACTTTTATTAAGTTATTTTATTAACACAGTGAATTCAAAAGAATGAATAAATTATATCATTTAATTTGATGATTATTTTATAAATTGACTATTTTTTTTTAACTTGAGGAAAACCTGTTTTGCTTTGAATTTTGCTTTTTGTCTTTCCAAACCCTAGATGATGAATAGTAACCCTTTTTTCCTCCTTCTATTCTTTGTATAATAATCCTAGTCCTTCCCACACTTGAAGGATTGGTGACTAGATTGGCTTGGGCTGACTAGAGAAATGGTCAGTTATATGAAAAGCCAAAAAAAAAGCATAAATTTTTAAATACTAAATTATCCTTGGTATATTAAATAGATGAGTTTCTTAATATTAGCTTGGGCCCTAATAGACACATCACTTAAAATCTAATTATCTACCCTGGCCAGGTAGCTCAGTTAGTTGGAGCAGCATCCCAGTATGCCAAGGTTTAGGGTTCAATTTCTGGTCAGGGCACATGCAACAATCAACCAGTGAATGCATAAATAAGTGGAACAACAAATCAATATTTCTCTCTAAAATCAATTTTTAAAAATCTATTTGTCTAATCTCAAGATCTTTAAATGAAACTGGACATTAATAAAAAGCACAGAGCCTGATGTACTATCTACTCAATAATGCAACTGAAAGTTATACAAAAGGTTTTTTTGTTTTTGTTAATCCTTACCGGAGGATATTTTTTCCATTGATTTTTAGGGAGAGAAACATCAATGTGAGAGAAACACATTGATTGGTTGCCTCCTGTATGAGCCCCGACCAGGACCCAGGCTGGGGAGGAGCCTGCAACCAAGGTATGTGCCCTTGACCGGAATCGAACCCAGGACCCTTTGGTCAGCAGACCAATGCTTTATCCACTGAGCAAAACCAGCTATGGCTACAAAAGTTTTTTTTTTTTTTTTTTATTAGGAACAAAAACTTAAGAAGCCCTGGCTGGTTGGTCAGTTGGTTAGAGTGTCGTCCTGATATGCCAAGGTTACAGGTTTGATCCCTAGTCAGGGCACATACAAGAATCAACCAACAAATGCATAAATAAGTGGAACAACAAATTGATGTCTGACCTCTCTCCCCGCCCCTCCCCATTCCTCTCTCTCTCTAAAGAAAAAATCAGTAAAGAAAAAACATTTTAAATAAAAAGAACTGATATCTGGGTAGCTATTTAAGAACTTTTTTTGGTGAGATTTATCCTATGTATAGAAGGTATAAATGTATATTTAAAAATAATTATAAAGCAAACCCTCATCATCTTTTTAAAGAAAAACTGCCATTTGTCCTCAATAACTCCATCTTCTATAAATAAAAAATAATTCCATTTCCATCACTGCCTCTCTTCCTCCTTCCCTTCCACGGTCTTTAAAAATGAATAGAAAAAAACACCCATCTTGCTAGGCATCACACTTCATTTACTTTTCTATAACAAGAAATTAGAGGTCAGAAAGTCTACTTGACATAACGGTCCTCAGAAAATGATATGGAAATGTCCCAAACTGCCTGATTATACTTTTATCAGAGAGTGCAATGCACTTTCCAACACTTATAGTGTTTCTATTGGAAATTGAATTGACCTTTACATTTCAGAACCCTTTCACACCATTGCTCCCTTTTTGTCCTAGTCTTTTAGTCCTAGTCTTTTATGGATCACACCATTCAGCTCTCACACTCTCTCCCTTCTGATCTCTGTATCAGAATGAGCTTTATTTTAAATAAATTCAGAAACTGATTTTTTTTCACATGAATTCTGATTTCTATTTCAAACAAGCAGTTCCATTTCACTCTTAACATCATATGTTGCAAATGATGTCAGTTCTAACCACAGAGTAGTAAGGGCTACTCCTTGTCTTCCTGTAAGTGGCAGAGACAGGCAGAACTCCTGACTCAGACAGTGTAATGAGAGGGTTCTGAGTTTCTACCATAGCCTTTACCTTTCCGTAACTTCCTTTTACTCTTTATTGAAAGTCCATCCTGTTCATGTGACCTAACTCACCCCCGCCTTCCCCCTGAGATTCCAGTCTGTTCCATGCTTCTATGTTTCTGGATCTATTTTGTTCATCAGTTTATTTTGTTTATTAGATTACACATATGAGTGAGATCATGTGATAATAGAAATATTTTAATGACCTCCTGTTCATTGTCTTTTACAGATGAAAGCTTTTCAGTTCCTCATAATAAAAGGGGAGTTCTTGGAATGGTCAACAAAGGCCGTCACAGCAATGGTTCACAGTTCTACATCACGCTACAATCAGCTCCCTATCTGGATAAAAAATATGTGGCTTTTGGGTACGTGTATTGTAAGTTAGTATATATTATAGTCATATATGTAAAAACGTGGTTCAAAAAATTTGGATTAAGTATTGTATGAAGTCTATGGGTAACTAAGAATTTAAAAGCAAAAGTAATACAAATACAAACATTTAGAAACATTTTGTGAGAAACTTGTTATCCATAAAAACCAGAAAATATTTAGGAGGCACAGCCATTATAATATTCTGTTTATCTATCCATCCATTCATCCATTTTTGTTCAGTCTAATGGATATTACCAAATCTAAATTATGTTGAATAATACCATAGTACTTAATAATGTAGATATATTTAGATGCAGCAGTGAGTTGAAACCATTTAAGTAATTGTCCATGAATACTGTGAAGAGATAGATGAAAACTATCTAAATTGCAAGTAAATTAAATCCTCATTTGAGGATATTTTTTCCATTGATTTCTAGAGAGTGGAAGGGAGAGAGGAGGGAGGGAGAGAGAAAGAAAGAGAAAGACATATAGACAGACACTTTGGCACTAGAGACACATCAATTGGTTGCTTTCTGCACATGCCCCTATTGGGGCTAAGGAACCTGCAACCAAGGTATGTGCCCTTGACCCAGATACAAAACCCACTACCCTTCGATCTTGGGCCACCGAGATCTAACTACTGATGAAAAATGGCTTGGGCACAAGTAACCTTTTTTTACTGAACAATTTAAAATATGGAGATATCCCTGGTAATTATTAGAATACTAGAGGCCTGGTGAATTGTGCACCAGTGGGGTCCCTCGGTCTGGCCTGCACCCTTTCGCAATCTAGGACCCCTCGGGGGATGTCAGACTGCTAGTTTCAGCCCAATCCTCGCAGGCCAGGCCGAGGGACCCTAGTATGCATATAAGATCTTTGGTTAATCTCTTCCCATCTTCCCCTCTTATCCTCCCCCCGAGATTCATCAGTCTGTTCCATGTTTCCATGTTTGTGCATTGAGCATCATAGCTACCAGTTGAACGGTCACTTAGGCTTATATATATATATAGACTAGTAGCCCGGAGCATGA